TTAGTTTGATCACAGCAACGCTTACTATATAGTCTACCTGAAAAGCCAACCTCCAGCTCTTGCAACTGCAATGGAATGGAATCAATTAAATGGATATACCTAAAGTTTTAGTGGACTATACTTATCAGTTTAGCGGATATACTTACTCACATATATTTTCTGTCAGCTCTGGTGTGCATCTCATTTATGACACCTGAACAGCACAACAACTCCATGAAACATGGGAGGAGAAGGTACTTCAGGGCAGGTGCTTGGGGTTCAGGTTGTTCCATCACTAAAGGAGCCAGGAATCCAGACCTGTGGCACGCTGCTCTGGACAATGTGCAAGCACCTCAAATTCCATTACTCACATTTGGCAAGGCACCTACTGGAGTTGTTTTACAATAGTTGCCTATTCATGCTAAAGTCACTGAACTTGAAGACTCCTGCCTTCAGAAGCCCTCTATAAACATTGCCTAACGCATCTTCACCAATCCATTCACTGTGCTTTCACTCAATTCTGTGTTGAGATAAGATGATAACTACTATTCTTTCATAAAGCAGTAAACACACCTCTTTCTCTAATGAGATTCTCATTTGCTTTCCACCTAGATGGCTGCCAATACTTTGAGGTGGGTCTGACCATCTGCCTGTCAGCTAGCACTATGTTACATTATATATTTATGGCTCAGTCCAGAAAGGGAGGTTTGACTGGTGTTCATTAGAATAGGTGAAAGTCACTGAAATTTGCTTGGATCTCTTAGTACCGAGAATTATCCATGTCACAAGGGTGGGAAATAAGCTGTTGTGTCTCTTGCTCAGAGATATTTCTCTTTTAAATGATTCAGAATTACATATTCCTGGGATTCCAAAGAGTAAGGAGGATTGGAAAAAGACATTTTAAGCAACCTAAAGTCAAGATTCAAAAGGATTTTCTGTAAATAGAAGAGAATTTTTCTTCCTTTGAATTCTTTTCTTTAAAACACCATGCTTACATATTACAAAAGGGACATAAAAACAGAAGACAAGACAAAATTTTAAGATTTGGTGCAAAAAGTTGATCTATTACCCACAAATTACAAACTCTTCTAGTAGCACAGATGTTTCAGAGAGATTCAGAGCCACACCATAATATCCAATAATCATCACTCCCGGAGGCAAGCTCAACACTTGTTCTCAAATTACATGTACTGACTGCTATAGAAATATCTAAGGTTCATGAAGGAAAAAAATAAAAATAAATACCTTCAGTGTATTTACTATGAAAGCCTGGACAGCATTCAATAGTTGGATCTCTCTCTTACATTGTCATGAAACAAGGTGAAATCTATATTATACAAACACCAGGACTCTTTTTCCCCAGAAAGTATCTGGCAGTTGAGAAGAACTTACCGAAAGCAATCCAACTACAGATTACAATGGTCTCCTACAACAAGGTTTGCTCTTCTTCTCCTTGACAGTGTTTTACATTTGCATGCCAATTTTATCTCCGAAGATGAATGAAGCATTTCGAACTATTCCCCATGCAAAATACTCCTGTCCGAGCAAACATATCTAACACTCAACAAAGAAGAGGATACACCTTACTACGCTACACTCTGCAGGCAAAATAAGAAAGTTCTAGAATTCAATTTGATGCTGTGGAAATGCAACCACAGGAAACAGAATTAGAAAATCTCCTGCTACAAAATCGGAAGAATGTTTTGATTAATCAGGATTAATTCAACGGACTCTCCTTTCGACTGACACCAGCAATTTTCATCGATTTTTAAGATCTTTCTCATATTCTGAGCCTGTATGATCAGACTAAATGATCTGAAATTAAGAATAATGAGCTTTAGCATGAGTAAGTCATGAGTGGTGTTGGAAATGCCTACTAACCATGCTGTAAACTTGCTTGTCTGTTCCTTACCATCAAAGCAGATGGTAACATAAAAACAGAAAAATAATAACAAGAAATATAATTTAAAACAATATTTTGATTTAAAAAAAGCAGATGAGTGCACTTCGCAGTGTTGCTAGCTGTTTTTAAGACCTGCCTTACTTGGTACAAACAACGGAGACCTTCGAGATTCAAACAGCCCATGGTTTCCCTGTATGTCCCGAGAGCTTCGCTTAGTCCTTCAGGAGGTGTCTGCACAGATTTAAACATCCTAAGTATCAACAACTGATAGCTAGCAAACTATGAAAGTCTGACAGTCAGTGTTGCATGATGTCTTAGAGATGGTGATCTAAGTAGCATCCTGTTCAGACACCACTGAAGCCCATGAACCAACGGCACCACTCAAAGAAGTCAGACCTTCTAATGGACCTCAGCTTGTATGAGCAACTGTACATAGGATGAAACGGCTTATCAATTTAGAGATGCAAACAGGAAAAAAGCTTCCAATTTATTAGCGTCAGCTTCAAGAATGGCAATGTGAAATTGCATTAAATTAGTTATGTGATGTCAGATTAATCCTTAGATGACCACAAGGGCAGGTTAAAATAGTATATGTATTTTTGCTGATTAAGGTAATAAGAAAGACCCAAATGTGACTCATCCCAGAGGTCAAAATCATCCAGTTTCATTACAGTAAGCAACATACATATCTGTAATTGTGCAAAGACACCACATATAGAAAGTAGAATAGATACTTAAAGGTTGTTACCTCCACCTCCTCATCTGCAGAATCACAGAATGGCTGAGGCGGGAAGGGACCTCTTGAGATAACCTACTCCAACGCCCTGCTCAAGCAGGGTCACCTAGAGCCAAAGACCGTGTCCAGCCGGATTTTTAATATCTTCACAGATGGAGACTCCACAATCACTCTGGGTTACCTGTTTCAGTGTTTGACTACTCTCACAGTAAAAAATTATTTTCTTGTGTTTTGATGGAATTTCACAGGTGTCAACTTGTGTACACTGCCTCTTATCCTGTCACTGGGCATTACTGAGAAGAGTCTGGTCCCCTCTTCTTCATTTCCTCCCATCAGCTATTTATATACATTGATAAGCTCCCCTTCAGCCTTCTCTTCTCCAGGCTGAACAGTCTCAGGTTTCTCAGCTTCTCATCAAAGATGCTCCAGTCCCTTAATTCCCTTTGTGGCCATTTGCTGGACTCACTCCACTAAGTCAAAGTCTGTCTTGCACTGTGGAGCCCAGACTTGGCAAAAGCATTCCAGATGTGGCCTCAGGAGTGCTATGCAGAGAAGATCTTTATGCAACCAAATTAATAATCAAGGCAAGACAGGGTCTGAGGAGTCAACTCAATGATGAATTGAAACTCCAAAATGAAATATATTATTTTCTTATGACACCTCAACACAGAATGATCATACAGTAACTCCAAATGTAAGTTCTTTCATTGCACTGAATTAATCTAAATTCACTCACATCTAGAATCATGATGATCCATGCCAGGAACTAAATATAATTCATCTGCTTCCATAAAAATTGTCTTCAAAAATCTACATTACAATGAAGTTAATATTTCCAAAGTCATCATATCCAAACTATTTAGTATTAATATGTCATATAATATTGCTACACTACTGTACTTCAGACAATTTAGGGAACAAGAACTATATATGTGTATATATATATATATAGACACACACGTCACTGCTCATGTTGAAAAGTAAAGGTTGACACAAAAATAAGGTGAATTAGCGTGACTCTACAGAATTCAAAGCAGTTTCACGTGATTTTGATACCAAAGACACCCTTTCCATATAAATACACTTTTCCCCCCCAGCCGTATTTTTCAGAGATCACCATGGAGATACACAATAGAAATTAAAATGATTACTATCTCCATAAAACAAATTCCACATGGAGTAAAAAAAGTTATAAGATATCTCTTCTGCAAAAGGATCAGTCTGAATTTTTATATACCATTTCTTTGTGAAAGATCCAGGCTCAACTAAAGCAGTTCAGGAATTGTTCTTGACCAGTTTAAAATAGTCTTTCTAGAAACAAGAAGAAGTTACAACCATTGATAGAACAGACCTGAAAATCTGCAGGAAAGCAGACTTCACTGCCATCACACATCCATCTCTACTAACATATGATCCTCTGGAATAAGAGAATTAATTCTCCTTGTCCCCTCCAAAATCTACACTGTATCTTCCATACAACCATTTCATTCTTGTGCATAGAACTAAGCCCAGAATAATTAAAGTTAACACAGCCATGTTTAACTCTACAAGGGTTCGACTTAATTTACCTCTTAAATAAGGCTTGAATTCTAAGAAGATATTGAACTATATCAATTAATTGGGACTCTGCCAGAAAATTACTTCACTGCTTAAACACACATTTTCTGAAACTTTCCGTAACTCTGCACAAGCTTTATTTAAGGGGATTAGACTTTGGAGGCTTAACTATTGCTGGTTTAGAAAAAATCTAATATAAATTGCTAAACATTTTGGAAATACCAACTGAAAAATTGTAGTCAATTAAAAAAACACTAATTCAATAACTGAGCCTCAATTTAGCCTTCTCCCTTTATTTTGTTCCATCTGTGCATTTTGGGGTACGGTTTGTTTACTTCTTTCATTACACACAAGAAGCTGCATAATCAGTCACTGAACTGATTATGAGAAAATTGAGCTGATAACCTTGTTATATATCACCTGTAGTTAATATCTTATAAATTTATTTAAAAGATATTTTTTACATATATGAATACAAGTAAAAGACAAAAACAACTGGAGTCTGCAGTGTGTGCTAGCAATCATTGCGGGTGGGTAAACTGACAACATGTAACTGCATATTAAGACAAATGTAGAATTTAGACAAAGTATTCCATCTCTTTTCAGATGTATACTTTTAAACCTCAGGAACTGTTTTCAGTAGATGTCATGCCTTTTAACTTGAAAAAAGATAAGCGCAAATAAGCTCCCAATTGTCTCCCCAATATGTAAACCACATCTCGGGCTGCTGTCTCTGTTTTGCCTTTGAAGTTTCCCTGAAATGTCATGTGTTGTGAAGACTGCTGTGCATAAGCAAGACAATTTGCTCACTCTCAGAATTCTTACCGGTTTCCACTGCTATTTGGTATCCAGCCTCTAGTCTCCGAGATGACCTTTCCAGCCTCTCTGTGTTATCGAGCAGATGTGCCCTCTGACAAAGAAAAGGAGAGAGAGAGGAAAAAAAAAAATCAGGCAGAAGTCTACAGCGTTCTCTCCCCCTTTTTAATTGTGCTTTCATAATTCAAAACATAAAAATATCCACGTATATTTTATGGAAGAGTCTGTTACGAGGACCACTGGAAGGGGCAGGTTCTATGATCAATCATAATTATGTGTCCCAATCATTTTTGTTTTGAAACACGGAATACGTGCTTCACTCATTACATGAACTCAGAAAACAGAATGCAACTATTCCAGGGGAAACCTGTTTGAGGAGCATTTCCAAAATAGATTTCCCTGTGACACACGTATGCAAGCACCCATGATTCTATTCAACTACAGTTGATGAAACCATCACTTTGAATGCAAGTGGTAGTTTTTAACACGAACTTCATTTTCAGCAGAGGATATATTTCCTTTATGTGTGCTACTCAAGTGAGGTGATAAAAAAAACGAGCTATTCATACAGAATACTGAACAGCATGAATATTCCTCAGACTGTTTGATGTAAAAAGATGTAGAAACAAAACACTGGTTTCTTGATTTACATCTCTTATGCCTAAATATATATATGAATATATAAATAATATACACACACGCAGGAATAAGATATTTTTCCCACAAGTCATTGGCCCATTTATGAGATAACAATAAACTCTAGTAAAAATGCACCTTCCAATACATTTTCACTTTGGGAGTCTGTAATAGTGAAAAAGTGAAATTATTATTTTCATTAGTTTATTCTCCATCCAAAACGCCAACATTTCAAGACGTAAGCTCATTTCCTTTGGAAATTTGATCCTGCACTAGCTCTAACCAAGCCATCAAAAAATATAAGCCTCCCCCCCCAGTAAAGTAATCACACACACCATTCTGAGCACTCCTTTGCCCAAAAACAACATTTTGGATATTTCTCAAAAAATACTTCCTACAACTTTGCCTTGTTGACAGATGTCATTTAAAAATTGAAGAAATGCTTTCTAATAATAATAAAAAAAGGAGGTGCCATACATATTATCTGAGTGGCTGTCTACCGAAACGATCTACCTTGCTCTAATGAGCCCCTATGGATCTTGGGAGATGCAAGCTGTATTGACATGCACACTTAAGCTAATACACCTAGACCAGTGCCTCCAAGCTCTAGCAGCCAGGGATGCTGACAGAATATCTCGCTTCTATCTTCAAAGAAAGGAAGTGATTAGTATGTTATCATTACCATTCAAAACGTGATTTCCCTATTCCCTCCCGGCATAGGTGACACATCTCTGAGATGCGGCCAGACGATCGAGGCAGCTAAAGCCACATCAAAGCTTGCCTTGAATTTTTTTCCTTTTTTTCCCCCCTCTCTCTTTTTTTTTTTTTTTTTTGGAAAACATAAAAACAATGCATTTAGATCAGCACAGATAGGACCCAATGTGAAGGTCAGGAAAGCTGCAGTAACAGTCTATAATAATTAAAAGAGTTGTCTAATACACAGTGGATAGGTTAAGAGTAAATTGCAAAAAAGCCTTTTGCATTCATGGGGGGCAGGCCACCAAGAAAAAAAAAAATCAGCATAAGCACTTCATAAAATTTAAAACCACAAGTTACAATGCTGTAATTGAAATCACGACAGCAACCAGAGTGGAGCGTGTTCTTAGTACTCATGGTCAATCTAGATAATTAGTGTTAATTTTGCTTAATTTTTTTTAAAAAGAACCTTTTTGTAACATCTGCTGGTTTCTCTCCTTTGCCCATTAGAAGAAAAAAGTGTAAGCCTGCAATACCTTTCTCCAAATACTGCCCCCCCCCC